TAGCTGTAATAGGGTAATGCAGCCAGTTAGAGAGAATAATGATAAGTAAGGAACTTAAGGACTTCTGGTGTGATATTTAAAAACATTTGAAATAGAAATAATGACATCCATGTATTATGAGTTTAAATATTGTAGTCATAAATCTGATTTAGAAACATGTTTTCATGCCATATGCAACACAAAAATATACATCCAGGTTATGTTGTCAAATCTCTGAGATTCAACGCTCATCTTGCAGGAAATGTCTGTAGGTGACTCAGAAAGCATGAGGTACTTGCTTTCTAATACAAGTATAGGAGATCTGCCACTGCAAATATTGCTCTAACTTTTCCAGTTGGGACGACTCTCCACCTAAATTTCTCTGCACAGTTACTCTCTTCTTTGTATGTGCTTACAGTAAAAGAGAGACAAAGTGTGGATGTAATATATTTCGGATCAATTGACGTCCTTGGTATCACAGACAAAGCTGTTAATTTCCCTGATTTTGCCATATGGCACTTTTTGATTACAGCAGGAACCTTCTACTTTGTGTTCAATTTCTATTAACAATTCACATATAAAGCTAGATTTTTGTAGCTACTTCAGTACCAAAAAAATTAATACATATTTGATGGTATTGGTGTGAGCAACTGATAATTCCTGTCAGCAGAATTCAGCAAGAGAGAGCACTTAACAAATAGCAAGGGAAAAGCCACAGTGTACACTGCTAGGGATCTGCTGAAAAAACTTGTGTTTGGCAGCCCACTAGACTTTTAAACTTTCTTTTTTGCCAAACTGCTGAATGCATTTCTTTGATGACGGCAGGAAGAATACAATTACTCTCTAGCTGGTTCCTAGAGCTGCAAGAACTGGCTTTAAAATTAAGCTGAAATGTTTTACTGATAAGTAGACCTTGGAGTCTTTATTGCACACCATGGAAAATTCAGGAGTGGTTTTGTCTCTGAGTTTCAAAGAGTTTAAGCAGTTTAGGCTCAGTACCACGGATTTACTGAGCAAGATTGCTACACTTTTCAGCAGTTAGTACATTGCTACATGTATAACTGAAGTAGTTTAGGCCTTACACATATTTCACCTTGTCCTGAGGAAAAGGTTGTGTAAGTAGAGCAAACATTGTTTCACCATGATTCAGCTGATTCTGAAGGAGATTCAAAACCCGGTGGCTCTGAAAGATTCAGAAAGAAGGCAACCCTGTGATGTGTGGTTTTACTGCAGTTATGAGTACATTCTAAAATAATTCATTAAATAGTTCACAAATTTTGACATCCCTGTAAGATTGACAGAATTCTGGTTTTGAGGACATACCAAATGAGATTCATCCTCCATCCTGCTTTATTCACCACCTTTCATGCTTCTTTGAGCCAAGGCCATTTTTAAAGCAGTAACTGCAATATGGAAGAAACAAGGATAAGAATTTTCATATTTATGAACATGAAAATACATGGAATCATGGCAGTATGCCTAAAGTTAGTATGACTTCATTAGATCCCAGAAATTAGAAGTTCTTGAGAAGAATAAAAACAAGCAGAAACACCCATTATATTTTTTTTCTCTGAGCAAATTTATTTCCTGAAGTAAACGTGACTGAGAGGGCTGTCTGTGATTGTCCTGTAACAGAGAACAGTGTACCCTGAGAATGACCTGCCATCCTGGCAGACCTGTGAGATGTTGAGTCACTTCTGTAGAAATCTGAGCAGTGTTCACACAGGGGTTCACACAGTAAACTGACCTGGGATCCCCCTTTGGCATAGGGAAGACTGCGGCCTCTGGGCTTTGCTTGAAGTAAATGGTATAAGCAGGGAGCCCAGCAAGCTGGTTGCTAATACTCAGCTACATGTTAAGCAGTTTTGTGGTGGGTGGGAGGTGCCACCCAAGTATCAGGACCTTTGATTATAAAATTGGGAAAAGCACAGAGATTACTAATGAATTTCCGTGGGAACTGCAGGGACACACAGAACAGCAGGTCCGGTGGAAAAATTGCTGTCCAGGTGGCTGTGGCTGTGTCGTGTATCTAGAGACAGTTCTCAGATTTCATGGAAACCCTGGGGAGAAATTTCGGTTCATGTGACTGGACAGATGCTCTGCAGATACCGTTTGATGTACCCTTAATTCTCAGCTACTGCTCCAACTAGGCTTGAAATCACACCGCGCCTGGTGGTGCTAGCGAGCTGTCAGACATGAAGAGGGATGAGGGGAAAAGGACTGAACCCTCTTGCCTTTGTCAGTCTGCAAATGTTATGGATTCCTAGTTATATAAGGGCTGCTTGTAGAAACCATATGCTTATCCATGGTCGCCTACACTAGGCCTAGCAGTTCATCAACAACAAGCAGTCTTTCTCAGGTGGAGAGCTTCAAGCCTAGCTGACTGCTGGGGCAGACTCACCCATATTTTGTGCAGCAGAAATCATAGCGAACAAAGATTGTAGCAGTGGCAAAATGAAAATGGTAAACTTCTGATCAATACGAATTCTACTTCTAGCTCTAGGCAATCCTGCTTCAGCAGGGGAGTTGGACTAGATGATCTCTATGGTCCCTTCCAACTCTAAAAATTCAGTGAAATTCAGTGAAATTCACCCAGGACGCTTCTGTTCCCCTGAGCTAAGAATGCTTTCTGCAGAATATTTGGTTAAGAAAAAAAAGCTTTACCTGTACCCTGAGGAGCTGCAGTCTTACAGGAGAAAGTTAATTTGGGAAACTGGCTGGCAGAAGAGACTCCTGAGGATGCATGATGCCAAAGCCCGACTTCGGAACAGTTAAGTGGACTTACTGCAAGCTGGGGAAAGATGAAGCATTGCTGATGTTGCTGGCTGTGGGTAAGTAGGCAAATACACGCCACAGTGAAAGGAAAGGCCAAAAGTGGTAGGCAGCATTCTTTTATTACTAGAAAAAAGAATGAAACCGTGTATTGTCACGGGCAGTCTTCCGTTCTTATCCCCCCTAGTGGTAAGACGTCCTAAGAAAAATAATTTATTATATTAGATACGGAGGTTTGGTGACACTGACACAAATGCATACAGACTGCTCCAGTGCCAGTTCCCCATAGGCTACAGGTCATGCCAGAAAACCTGCTCTTGTGTGGGTCATCTCTGGGCTGCAGCTTCCCTCAGGGCAGATCCACCTGCTGCCGTGTGGGTTCCTCCACAGGCTGCAGGTGGATATGTCCTCCACTGTGGTCCTCCACAGGCTGCAGTGGGACAGCCTGCCTCACTGTGGTCTTCACCATGGGCTGCAGGAGAATCTCTGCTCCAGTGCCTGGAGCATCTCCTCCCGCTCCTTCTCCACTGGCCTCAGTGTCTGCAGGACTGTTTCTCCCATGTTTTTCTCACTCCTCTCTCTCATGTGTTACCACAGAGATTACTGAGGGTCCCAGATGTGCCTTGTGGCCAGGGGGTCAGCTGGAGCCAGCTGTGTCCAGCCCAGGGCAGCCCGGGCCCTCTCCTCACAGAGGCATCCCTCCATCCCCCTCCACTTGCCATGCAAACCTAATACCGCACGCTATAAAAACTCAAGGGTTTGCTCATCAATAAAACAGTTTTAACCTGATTTCAGCTCTGGGAACGAGCTGGAGGATCATCATGTTCTTCCTGCTGTCACCCAAGCAGCGCGTCGCGGCTGTTCAGCAGAAGGGCCTGGCGAGGCCCTGGCTCCCTGCTGCTCGGGGCCAACCTGACCCAGATTCTCCAGCTGGATGCAGCACAACATGGCCCGGGAGCCTAGCTCTCTGGACCAACACCTTAAACTCAACTTGGCTTAGTCCTGATGCTAGTAATTACTTCCGCAACTTCCAAACAGCTGAGGGATGTAACGATTTCTACACCTGCCTAGCGTGGGTGAAACAAAGATTGAAAAAAAAAAAGAAAAAAAAAAGTAATGGCTACTCGTTGGACGAGCTGATTGGTATCGTAAAACCAAACACGAGCGCCCAGCCCGCGTGTAAACCCTCGCATTTCCCTCGGGAATCGTGCGAGGCCACGGGGTGAAGGGGCCGGGCCGGCCCCTGCTGCCTCCCACCGCCTCAGGCGCACCGCCCCCCCCCCCCTCCGCCTCG